AAGTACTTCTTAACTTACATTTTTTCTGTTAGACTGGTTTTGTATATTTCATACGAGCCACTCCCAGGACTAAGTAGAAATATTTAATACTTTTACACCACAACATTCTACTAAGAAAACATGCTGTTTATCTCTATCACGTATTGGTAATTGTTACAATGCAATGAATCGGTGTAGACGATGATGTAACTTCCACGTAAGATCTTATAAATTAGGCAGTTACATCATGATGAATCTACAATATTAGGATTAGGTCTATTATTAGAGCAGTGCTAATATCATAATACACCGTAATTCTAAAGTTATACGTGGGAGCCGTTTTTATGTTGTGGGTTGGTACTAAAGTTTGTGAAAAGTTTTCTTTCTGAGAGTAATTATAATTTTGATCCTTGGGAATGTAGATAGGGTGTGGATTAAGAAACCTACTATTATCATTCTTATTAATAGTTTTAAGCTTTAAGGGGTGACTGGAGTGATCGGCACTCTGGTAGTTTTTGCCAGTCTGAGTGTAAAAAGGCCTGTTACACCGTAGCCCACTACCCATTTTGGGGGTAAATTATATAATATCAGCGGGTAGAACCTGTTCACTGTTGTTGGGTTACCTATAGAGCAGTTGGGTTCAACCTTACGTGTGTTTCCCTACCTGGTATCGTGATTCTTGTCTTCCCATCCTTTTTTGTCAGCGATGGAATCTTTCGTTGTCTCTGTGATATGAATTTAGGTTTATTCGAGTCAGCCTATCGAGTATCTTTAGGAGGACTAATTTTCAAGTGTATATATTTGGTTGGATGCGTGTTGTCGCACGACTTACATCTTAGTACATTGCTGAGCAAACAGCTGGGATTAGAAATGTCGTTATGCTTTTTGGTGACATTTGGGGTCCGAATCTTATCCAAAGGTTTCTGATCAGCAGACTCATCTAGATCAACAGAGTGGTCAACCGTTTGTGGAGTGATGTCATGCTTATTGTTGCAAACTGTCTCTGGCAGGTTATTTACTGTAATACTACCATGCAATCCTATCACTTCACGTCTTCTTACACGACGTTAACAGAGCGTAAGGTCTGGAGTATATTATATATTTTTGTATGGAATTAGTGAGCTTATATTTTTGCTCGAATCAATAAACTGTTTAGCATCGTCACAACAGCTAAACATAAACAGTAGGGGGCAAGTTGATCTGTTTGACTTATTTCTAAGGCGGATGACTTTGCAGTTAACGTTCAGCATACCGCATGCTCTAAGGCAAATAGCCCTCAGATTAGATGGGTGTGTGTGGTTGGGGAGGTTATACGCAACTGCATTGAAGGAGGACATCACTCTTTTCGTCACTTCTCCAGCCACAAACTCCAAAATACACTCAGCTTTAGTGAGTTGCTCAAGATTCCTATCAGTGTCAAGGCTCCATATATGTGTGAAGGGTGCTAGTTGCTCAAGTCTGCCATTTATTTCGGCTAGAGAGTTTTGCAGCTGACGGATGTCAGCACTAAATCTATCAGTATTTTCTTGTGTATGAGATGAACTACTGAGCTCTTTAGTTTTTGAAATTTTAGATTTAGGCCTTGGTAGAACGTACTGTCTGGTGGACTGTGCCGACGTTTCGATGCACGTGGGTGTAGTGTCTTGTATGTCAACCAGTCTTACCGTTGGCATACTGCACGTAGAGATGGAGGGGCAGTAATATGGAGAATCAGGTGATAATAGTGACATTTGTGTACAATACGCATATTGTTCATTTGTTAAAGGTTTGACATTGTCAGGTACTGAGTCGTCAGTCATAGGAGTTACAGATTTAGACCTTTTATTTAGCTTAGAAGTTGGTGAAATTTCTCTTTTACTGGAGTTATTGACCATGATTTCAAACTGGGTACAGAGCTCGTTAAATCAAATATAATATCAGAGTATTAGTAGTTGTTAAGTATTAACCTGGTTAATACAAGGATTGAAGACTATGAGTATATAATAAATTTTAGATCTATTTTAGACTTAAGACCGAAATAGGAATAATATGAGCTGGTAAGTATCCGTCAAAACGTTTTTTCCAGGTAAAATGTACCCGATATACAAGATAGGATGATAGTCTCCGTATGATACACACTACAAATGAACAAGTCGAAGAACTTCAAGACCACGTGAAAAACAGTTACTACTTTCAAATTTCGCATTATTACAAGTCATCGCCCTCACCATCAATGCTTGCTGGTCAGTAACTCTGTAGTGGCGCCAGGCCCTAGCACGAGACAATATTGCAAACAGACATTCAATATTTAGCGCGGAGAAATACCTAATTGTGGAGATGGCGGGGACAATGAATTGAATTAATTCGAGTTGATCGGATGGTATGGCTCGGCCACACAGGCGTGGTCCATGTTGAATTTTACCCGATATCTTTTATTCATATTAAATATGTTGCTCTGTTTCTAGCCTAAGCTTGTTCTCCATCATCTTGATAATCGTTACGATGCAGTGAGTTGGTGTAGACGAGGACGTGACTTTCACGTAAGATTTTATATATCATAACGAATCTACAATTTTAGGATTAGGTCTATTAGTAGAGCAGTACTAACAACATAGTAGACCATAATTCTGCAACTCCACCCTCCCTCCTTTTGTGATGTTAGGCTCGTTTAAGCTTTTTTTGAATATACATCAGACCTCACATGGTGCTCTGTGTTTCACATTCTGTTGGAAAACACTATTTCTATAGGTACTATTATACAAGCTTATCAGGCAGTTACAAATTATGGACTGTGGGTAAGTCATCGATGCAATGCTTTAATTGACTATAGTATAAAGTATAGGTTGTCAATCAGAGTATAGGATATATGTAGGGTATATTGTAGGATAGTCGTTTACCAAAGTAGATGGAAAAGTATAGGAATATATGAGTTATAGATAAGGTAACAAGTGGTGAGATAATATTAGTGACAAGTCAACATCGTGTACTGGAGAGTAAAAAGTTGATAAAGAATAAACAAGAAGGAACTTGCATTAACTTGGTTTTGATGTTATTTTTTCCTATAGCAACGGGCCGATGGGTAACAGGTTCCATAGGTGCAAGACCACTGGTAGTAGGCAGACGATTATGCTGTTCTTTCGACTTTTTAGAGTAGTAGTGAGCGTCTCTTAGCGGCCGAAAGTCAATAGGTCCAGTAAGTTACCTGTCTACTTCAAGTTAAAAATTAGGGAGGAAAAGGTATCTAATACAACTACAAAGTAGGAAAATAAGGCAATTTGGTCTATACATGTAGAGAGCCTGTAATGTCTAAATGGGACGCAGATGTTTTCGTTTGTGCTAGATCTGTGCAAGTGGGGGCTTGATCAACAAGTCTTACAACCGTATGTAGTTCAGCTGCCATGCGTATTTTATAGGAAAGACCGTTCCATATTAATGTATACTTAATGAGAAGTTTTCCCGAGCTTTTGATCTGTATTTCTCAACTTTGACCATGGATACTTTGTCTCGAAGTTCGTATTCATGTGTGTTTTGGGCTAGAGCTATATCACATGTGGAATAAGTAAGGTTTTTGAGGAATTTGAAATAGAGAATCAAATTGGACCTAAGCCTTCTTTTCCAAAGGAGTTCTAGTCCTAAGATATGGCATCGGGAACTGTATACAATGAGTAAGTCGTTCTTAAGTATTTTGTGAATGAAATCTCGTTGTATTCCTTTCACCTTAGGTAAATCGAATAGGCGTAGGTTGGAAAAGAAAAACGAGAAGTATTCAATAATAGGTCTTACACAGACTTTACAAAGAATGATTCTAAATTCATTTTGAAGGGAACTACGAAGAATGAAACCAAGCAATTTTCGCATTTTAGATGCTTTATTTGAGACATGTTTAGAGAATTTAAGATTGTGTGAGTGATATACCCCTAGGTCAGTTACTGATGTCGGTCTGGACAGTGTGTTCTTGTTAAGTGCTAGTTTTTATTTTAAGAGACATGTCTCCTATACATAACCAGCCGCATTTTTGTGTGTTGAGCTCTAACCTCCAGTGTTTGCACCAATTGTTTACAATGTTGAGTTCATGTTGGATTGTTTGCATAGTACTACTTACATCACAAACAGATAAATTAGTGTTTCCGTCTACTAGCCTCCATTTACGCGTATCAATGAGTGTGGTGTTGTAGCAGGTCCATACCAGCGATTGGCATAGAAACATCTGCAACAATGAAAACTTAGTGTATGGGTTTGCGTAAACATACGTTAGGATAGACGAGCCTCTTACCACATGTGACGATAGGATTTCTGTTTGCCGCTTGTAAGTTTAAAACTGGTTCGTGAAGCCAGTCGTTAGAATTTGCTGGAAGGATGCTAACTTCTGCGCTAGTATAGAAGAGGTAGCGAACTTTCCTTATCACATATGTGACTACAGTTGCCGTTAACGAGTGCCGGCTAAGAAACTCTGCGAAGTGTTTTTCGTGTCAGCCGGTTCCGAGTTCGGAAAATTTCAGAGATTTTTGCAGTTTTTAGAAGGTTTTCTGTACTGGCTATGGTACCAGCACCAGTTGGGTTTATCCTTCTCTCGTGGTCAAGAGACAGATCGCCTACGTAAAGTGCCTCTTCGTAGGGTGTGTGACCGTTTACGACCATTACAAAATCGAAGGTAACGTGTCAGCGTATGACATGGTTCCGTAATCTCATTCCGTGTCGCTTGAGGCTTTTCTTTGAATCCTAATGAATGATTTTGGACCTAATATATTCTCTCTTTTTCTTACCACTAGATCGGGACATCTCAGTGGACATAACAGGTGAGTATAAAAGCCAATAACGGACAAAACGCTCGTGGCATACAGGTTTTGACACCAAGTCATAAATTCTTTGAACCTGTTGCCCGAAGCATTCATTCAAGAGAAGACTAGACACTCATAGAAGCATACTAGGAAAAGAATTAACATAGGCTGTAGACCTTCTATTTTTACTACACGAATCTGAGTCTGAATCTGAATCCACTACTTCAAACATACGTTGGATACATTGCGGGCCTTCAAATGTTTGAGACACGGTAGGATTTCGTAAATGCTCGCAATATCTTCAGTTATTCTGCTCTTATTTCCATTGATGGTTATCTTACGTTACTCTTCAATAATTCAGCTCTGTTTTATAAGAAGATTCTTTGTACATTGACTTGTTTTGCACTATGCATAATCCTTAAAATTGATTGATTACTCGATGGTCATCAATGTCTTGTGTCAGGTCTTTCTTAGGGTATATCGACTTTTATCGGTCAAGTTGCAATGTCGCAACTAGTCTAGGTGATTCGATATCGCGTGCACAATATTGAGATATGTGGTGGCTGATTGATTAAATTCGATCGTGATCTGAAATACATGACATCGCTCACTACTGAGTGATTAAACAATTGCAAACACATCTCAGTCCTACAGGAGGTCAACTGTAACCTGGATAATTCGCTCTTTCTGGGAGTCGTTTCCTTAGCTTGCTGTACTTCTGGCTGTTTCGTCGCACCTGAAAGAATCGTGTGTAGTTTTGCCATTATCCGTTAATAATTTGCTGAATTCAGCAGACTAATTAATTTCACACGTTCATTGTGTTAGTGCAACTTTTTCAGTGTGGCAAGTCATTGTGTAACATTTTTGTTACGATGATTGGCTTTACTCATCGATGTGAACAGGTTTATTGTTCTCTCATTGTTAAGAAGGAAATATAATTTAATGAGTGCAATAAATGGTTCTATAAGTCTTGCACCCACCTAATACCTACTGCATATAAGGGGTATCTGCGATCTAACTCATTGGTCTTGTATGTTTTATTGTTCGAGTAGGATATTACTGACCCAGGCGATAAGCTTTCTCACGTTAGGGAAAATATTGGTTGCAGTGGTCCTAGATAATCGGGAACCGACTGTACTTTACTAATCTTGTACGTACAGAAGGAGCTAAAGTAGTCTATATCCAAGGTGTGATAACTATCTCATGAATTGGGAGGGGCTAAATTATGCAACGCTTAAAGTACACCAATAATTCCTGTTTAGTGTTTTGCGTGATGCATTTATAAAGAAGGATTTTGACCAAATTACATCAGTTCCAAGTATAATAAAGGGAATCTAGAAATTCAAATACAGCTATACTCATATTATACAACAGTTCATCTTATTGCTTTGATTCAGTTTATATTCTGTGACAGCATAGTCAAGGTAATTGTCAGTCATTAACGTAGTAAAACCTTACATAAATATGCCCCAGTGCAAGTCATCGCACTATTCCCACATAGAGACAAAATTATTGTTATAAACACAAATAGTAGTACCGAGTGACTAGGTATAAATAATATGATTCGAGAAAAAACGTATATGATGGCTTGAAATTCAAGATCTAAGAGTAGACAAATATTGAATAGATTTGTGACCGGTTTTAAGTCATGTCACTCAACTTCTCTAACTATTAGTCAGGATAATCGGTTAGACTACAACCTGGTAGTTTGCATCTACCGATATGGCTTAGATTAACAGTCAGTAATTTTCACCAATGCAGTATATTGTTTTGGGTACACCTAGCTTTCTTCCAACATTACTTCGTGTTTAACCTCACTGATCCTCTATCATTACAACACAAATCTACGTAGTCCAGTTTCCAATTGTGTTTCTGGTGTTATCTTAACAACACTAGCAAATATAGTTGTTAATGCACCACTTTTCTCAAGTAAGTGTGCACAACTCTTTTCGTAATCATCTAACAGAAAAAGTTAGTTTGTAATAAATAAAGGCTTATGGACGTAACATTAGAGATTCGTGAATCTTCCCAAAGTTCTAGAAAGCCATCATCTCCAAGCAGCTGTTGATTTTTGGGTTTTAAACAGGGAAGTAGTTAATTTGTGTAGTATCAGACGCAATACTGTTGTTATGAAGTTGTTGTTTTTGGGTTTCAGCCACTGGTTTACATATTTAAGTGCTATCTATCGAGGTTGATCATCTATCCTCATACAAAAAGTATAACTTACGATGTAGTGGGTAAAACTTGTGGTGGTTGGTATTCAATATAATCCTTAAACTTCGTATACAGTTCGTCTTGATAACCGTCACTAGATAATGCCCCAACGGTATATTAATCAGAAGGCGAATACAAAGTGTTGATTACGTTTATTGTGGGACCACACACAGATATCCAAAAATATAGGTGCGTTAAGCAAGCAGGCAAGCGAGCGAGTGAGTGAGCGAATACGAGAGAGAGCAATGAACATGAATAACATGGGCATATATATGCATAGTGAAATAAATGAATCATCGAATCAATTAAGCGGTTAATAGTAAGGCTAGCAGCGTGAATAACTGCGTAGGCAGTAAGCAATGCTCAAGCATACATATTCATACATTCGCTACAATAATAAAGATACAATGATATGGATAAGTTGTTGTTGTACGGATGACTCAGTTCGTTAATAAGTTAATAAAATGACTTAACCGAATTAAATGTGAACAAACTCAATTACACGTGAGTTGCTATAATCTGCTTAATTGTTAGTCTGAATTCGTTTTTTTACTAGCGGTTCCTATCGATGATGGCTATGATAATCAGTAAAAGTAGATTAAGGTTAAGTGAAATGTAAAAGCTTTTGTCAACTTTTAACCTAATGTTTAGTGAATCTTAAAAAATAGGTTTTCGAGGTTGCAATATATTTGTCTCTGTAATCTTTTTTGTATTTTTTACAGATCATACACGTCACTAGAAGTTAATACAATCTTATTACTTTATTTATTTTGTCCTGAATCCGTTTGAGTTGAAGATCCTATTTTCGAACTTCACATTTGGTGTTAATGGATTACGAAGCAAATGAAGAAAACGGTTATGACAGTGATTTTATTGACGAAGATACAGAGTCACGTCTTTACAGTGCAGTATTCTTTGAAACGTCAATTTACACACCTATATCACATGATCTAGCATCGGAACGAATTGATTCTAATTTTAATGGTACATCATTTTTACGCGATTCGGAATCATCTGAAAATCCTGTTCTCATGCACGTTGAATGTGTAAATAATGAAGTATCTGATACGTTGATAACCTCACTTCAAGTTCAACAGAACTGTTTTGAAAATGAGTGCGAAAAGGATACCTCGTCATCAAGTTCTGGTTGTAGTGTTTTATTGCATGGTGGGAATGAATCTTCAGAGACTGAGATTAGTACTCAAGGCGTTATTCTTGGCGTTTCCCATGATACGTTGCTGCATGTTGAGAATGGAAATAGCTCTCCACCAGTGCCGTGTCAGACATTTAACGACGATCCTAATTTGTGGAAGATATGTAACGCTGATAGATACTCATCACGCTCAACAAGTATCCGGTATTTTAACAGTTTGGATAATTCACTTTGTTCAGAATGTGGAAGTAAAAGACAAAAGTCTCACAGATGTTATACTGTAAGTTTGTGTTGACAAGGTCTTTTCACTGATTTTTAAAAGCATAGACAGGCATGACAATCCATTTTTCATTATGATATTTTGACATTCTACCACATTCAGCCTGAAAATTAGAGTTAATTGATTTGTTGTGTCTATTGTGTTATTTACATTAAATTTCCAGTATTCATTGGTTTTTTTGCCTAGCAGTAAACCCTTGAGTAATCCAGAATTAGTAATTGGTTTTAGTGCTAGCCTATCAGTTACACAGTAAAGTTGTCAAACAAAACTAGACAACTTGTATGATTCATAAAAAAAATAACAACAAAGTATAATGACTACTAAAAGTAGATTGTTATCTTATCATTATCATGTATGTTCATTGTCAATTCTTTCTGTTGCTTTTATCAACTGCCATTTTGCACATATACAAAAAGCCGGCGAACTACTGTACATTATTGTGAGCCCTGAAGATATACTTAGCGAACTCTTGGAATGCCGAAGTTACAAAATGGCGAGTCTCAGTTGTGAATTTGAGATATTTACAAATATTTCGTGAAAATATAGCCAATTAGGATCTAAGCGAATCTGTAGATAGATGAAATGCTTGACAAGCTTAACCAGTCTATTGGTATCAAAATGTGTTAAATCAGTGTAGACAATTTCAATAATTATCTCGTTCTGAGGGCAATGTTCTACTACTAGGTTTAGAGGAGTTTGACAACAGTTAAGTGTCTTATTGAGGAGACCAAAATTTCAGGCTATAGGGCCTTTCCAATCATGAGAGGAAAGGTTAGGCTAGATCAGACTAAAATCTAGCATTTAGACTGGGTTTTCAGCTTTCTGTTCTTGCAGGTTAGCTTTCTTAGGGCTCTGATTGAAACACTTAACTGCTATTATCCACAACCAGACTTGTGCTAATGTATCTCAGAGTTGTTTTACCGTAATGTATTTTCTTTATCAGGAACTTCGAGGTATCACCCTCATTGGGTTAGAAAACCTAAAAGTACACTTGAGCATTCTTGTTGGATTCAATAAATTTCTTTAAACTCGAATAGAGTAAGAACAACAAGGTTAGTAAAATAAGGCGAATTCGTTTATTTTGTGTCTTCTTCGCTGCTTACAACCTAGAAAAAAAAAAGAATATTTATAACCAGTATACAAAATTTATAGTGATTAGAATAACATCAACAGTCATGGGAGAATTACAAATTACCAAGGTAGGTGAATATTTTTGTCCCTAAACGTGAGAATTCTAGAAAAATTTTAAAACGCATGGAGACATTTCTAGAAAATAAATATTAAAGTTACGTAATAACAACTATAACATTTGCTAGAATGTTAGATTAAGATGAGTAAAACTTTAGAATATAAAGCCAATTTGTCAGTGCAAATATGAAATAAGAAATTGTATAATTGATTAGTGAAAAATAGAGGTGTCAGAGTAGAGAAAGATTTGCAGTCGTTTCCTTTTTGAATACATGATACTTCCATACCTGTGGTTATTTTACTAATCATTAATATGATGTAAATTATGCACATTGGTTACAAATAATTATTACTATTTTTTTCCATAAACATAGTTTCCTTTATCATTTTGAAGAAGGCAATAACAAAGATTCTATCAGAGTAGCATGAATTCATTTTATTTCCTTTGGTTCTCATCATCCACTTACAACCTATGATATTTAAAAATAGTTACAAAATGTGTTTAAATTACTTACATGAGAGAGTTTAGTTGGGAGTTATTTTGAAGAAACATCAGTGTAGTATAGCAAGGGTGTAAATAAATTTAATAGACTGAATATTGGTTATATATATCTTATGTAAAAGAACATTCTACAACACTGATTGTAACAAGAGTTCAAAGGGTCAAAAACAAATAATCTGATGATGAGTAAACGCTGATAGGTCGACCTTAAGGCGGCATTTGACTCTGTTGATCGTGAGGTTCTATGGCAGTGTTTGTCACTGAAGGGAGTACCAAAGAAGTACATCAACCTTATAAAGGCTCTCTACTCGAACACAACTGGTCGAGTGAGAGCTTATAGTGAACTGTCATCAGAATTGATTACCTCAAGTGGTGTTCGTCAGGGCTGTCCACTCTCTCCATTCTTGTTTAACTTTGTCGTTGACGTCCTTTTAGAGATGACACTTTCCTCATCTAAATTTCCAGGAGTTGAACTTCTACCGGGAGATCCACTTGTTGACTTAGAATATGCCGATGACAGTTCTATTTAGTGAAGACGCTGACAGAAAGCAGAGTCTGCTGACCACTCTAAGCAACAATGCAAGCATGTTCGGCATGCGATTTTCTCCCTCGAAATGCAAAATTTTGCTTCAGGATTGGGTCACACCACCACCCGAACTAGTGATAGGGAGTGAAGTAGTTGAGCGTGTCGATCGCTTCACTTATCTCGGAAGTCTCATCAGCGCTTGTGGTTTGGTGTGTGACGAAATCTCAGCACGGATACAAAAGGCTCGACTAGCTTTTGCCAACTTGCGTCATTTGTGGCGTAGGCGAGATATCCGTCTATCAACCAAAGGACATGTTTACTGCGCAGCAGTTCGTTCCGTCCTACTTTATGACAGTGAAACATGGCCAGTAAGAGTAGAGGATATTCGTAGGTTACTAGTATTTGACCATAGGTGTCTTCGAAACATCGCTCGTATATCCTGGGACCACCGAGTAAGTAATGCAGTTGTTATGAAACGGGTACTAGGTAAGGATGGCAAATCAATTGATGAAGTAGTGAAACCTAATCAGTTGAGATGACTGGGACATGTGTTGCGCATGCCCGACCACCGACTGCCCCGACGTGCTATGTTCTATGGTGTAGGAGTAGGTTGGAAGAAAGCTAGGGGCGGCCAGACCAAAACATGGCAGAAATCCATGAAGTCACTGACAAGTGGACTGAGTCATGTTGGTATGTGTAGACTACCTGGTTGGGGACCGCGAGACGCTAGCAACCGATGGTTAGAGACCTTGAATGACATGGCTCAAAATCGTTTGCAATGGCGCAGGTGCATCCACTCTTTGTGTTCTCTCAAACTCTAATCTTCTGAATTCTTCGTGTCCTTTATTTTCTTTCCCAATTTATTCCACTGGACTAATAACATCATCAAACCTTAATGTCCCCTATCTCTACTTATACTTTCAGTACCTCTACCACTATGGGATTTGAATTGATAACTGAATCTCTGTGCTAATGTGATATGGCAACTCGAACTGATGTACGTACGTACGAAGTTCCACGTTGTTACTGACTGACTGACTGACTGAAACGCTGATAGGAATAAAGCGAGTAAAGCTCACTAAATAAAATAAGATTACTAATCTGGAAAACGGTCGAAATAAAAAGATACAACGGTGTAATAAATGCAAGAAAGAGTTGAAAATTGTTTTAATATGCAACGAAGGAATGTCTGTCAGCAAGGCAAGGAAAGAATTATAACCATCTCCTTTTGAGCACATAAATCAGGTTTTTGGCACCCATTAGCAACGGCTTCAGCAAACTTCAGAAGACTGGAGCTTGACTATTTAACAATCACCTTGGAATATTGCATGGTATCGACCTGATGTTCTGCATCCAAGAGTTGTGTGGTAATTACACTGTTTAAAGTCGTTCCTTCTCTTGTTCTAAGTGTTATGATTTGTGGCCGGCTAATATATTACATGATAAAGTAACCAATCAGAATACGACCTATACGGTCTTAACACTGTACCACAACAATGACGTATTGACCAATATGAGCAACTTAGCTTCCTTATTTGTCCTTTTCCTGCCTAGACCTTCCTGTTGAGTCCAGAACGCCAATAATAGCTCCCACTGTAAGAATAATATATTTCAAACATACTTAGTTTATATGCAAGCCAACCAGACCATATCTTACCATAAAATAGAAAATAATAATTGTACAAGATCAAGCCAAACTGTGGCTGTGATTGTGTGATTAATAAACTGGGTATAACTTAAGGGTAGCAAATCGTATAATGATAGTCTATAGGTCAAAATAAAGCTTATAATAAAAGAAATATAAATATTCAGAATCTAGTTACTCAGTAGTTATATAATAATAATAATATATGTATAATATTAGTCCATTAATAGCTCTCAGAAGTTACCATAATTTAATCTTTTCTAAAACCTGACACTAAGGCTTTTTGAAACACGTTCGAAAAATCTAAGATATGCCTCCCTTTCTGTTCGCCCAATGTAGCTGCTTTGGCAAGTATACGTAAATTTATAAACACAGTTGATGGTACCATGAAAGGGTTGCTTGTTGACCTTTGATTGGGTTATTGAAAATGTTTTATACGGAATTAATAGCTTGGTTACCGGGTAAGTTCTGACTAATGCTGTATTAAGCCTCTTATTGATTGCGCTTGTGACTTCATCACCTTTGAAGGTGAAATTTATAAATATTGGTTTTTTATTGATTGTAGTCACTTCCGTCTTGTTTTCTCTAGGCTTTTTTATATTTGTCAATAAATTACATTGGGAACAGTTGTCTCTTAAGTATTTTTCAACGTTCATAAATTCTTCCAGTTTGTTAGTGGTACATATCTAACCAATGCCCATACCCAGGATGCAAAACGACACTACCAACAAAAAAAGGAATTATCAATCATTGCTGCGTAGTACACAGTTGGTCGGTAATCACTGAAAAGAAAAGAAAATCCAAACCAAAAAACCCTGCATAAACAACTACTGAGCCCCGATAGCTGTGCCGTGCTTCTATTTTGCCTCTTCTCCATAAGGGTCAACCAGCTTTACCAACTAATTTTGACTGGAAAGGGCATCGTTGGGATTCAAATTTTACATACCGAAAGCAAGTACTAACAGGATTGATACAGAAATATTAAACTAAATAACTTTCTGGTTATATGGTGGTTGGAGGTAGTCCACAGGAAACCCTGCACCCGGGTTTCGTGCTACTTGACACTCGTCAGCAAGGTGTACCTGTAATCTTTGAGGGAACTGGTGCTCCCTGGCGGATTCGATCCCGTATCACCCAGCATTCAATCTGCACTAATAAATAAGGACTAGACACGCATGACATTGGTCACCACCCAGTGATCAATCAATTGTAACTTTCCGGCTCATGCAAGTTTGTTTTGTGTTATCTTCAAGATTCCAGGTTCTAATCATTTCCTACATTGGAGCAATTGACTCTTTATTGATCAAGACCATTATTTGGTACTTTAACATTTTCTGTACATATATTATTATTTTTTCATTTTTCCTATTCTTATTCAATATTGTAGTGTTGCATTTTGTGTGGAGAAGAGGGTCATGAGAAAGGTGAATGCGATAAAATGTATTGTTATGCATGTTTGGCGCCTGGTCACACAAAGTATCAATGCCATTTGTTGAAAAGTCTGAAAAAATCAATCTGCGAACGCTGTGGACAGCAAGGACATAATTCAAAAGTATGACAGTATTTCACTGGTTGAAATCATGAATCCGTTGAAGTTAGACCACCATGGAAAACCTGGAAGCACTGGACGGCCGTTTCGTCCTAGTATGGGACTCCTCAGCAGTGCACATCCACGATCCCGCTCCTCGCGAGATTCGAACCCAGTATTATTTTTCGTCTATTAGGACGTATTTAATTTCATGGGTTTATTCCGTTAGGAATAACTAAACAGTACAATATCCCTATCGGTTCCTTGTGGAGAGCTCATTTTTGGTATCCTCATTTACATGATTTCGTGATTTCAATTAATTTAGAAGATCAGGCCGTCCAGTGCTTCCAGGTTTTTTATGGTGGTCTAGCTTCAATTGACTCATGATCTCAACTATTAAAATTTAAAAGATGCTCTGTTTTTATTCCTGAATATATTTTGTAGAAATTCTGATTGTTATTGATTTTCAATAACTTATAGACAACCTTAGCATATTCCATATATTTTATGTTTAATACTGTACTACAGTACTAAAATGTTATTAACTTTGTATGCGTAGTAGTTTATGCAATTATGATTCATTTTATTTAGATGATAAGTTAAATATTATGATATAAATATGCAACTTTCGAAAACTGAATAAACATGTTTGTGTTTTAGTCATGAAATTAAAACATTGCAACTATTTGAATAATTTCTTTTAGTTAGAAACTCGTTTATATGCACAATAAGTCAGAAATTTTATATTCCAGTCCCAAAAATTACTTTTATTGTTACAAACTACTGCAAGTAGTATAGAAACTTTAGGTAAATATTGTGACAAATGTGAGGTTCATCTGTACCAGTTAGATCTGTTACCATGCTCTTGGTTATATCATTATTATTATTATTATTATTATTATTATTATTATTATTATTATTATTAATATTAATTATTAATTATTATTACCACTATCACTACTATTATTATCATTGGTCATTATTATTTTACTGATGATGTTACGACGAGGTGTAGCCGTATAATGTGTACTATTAACTGAAGTGATCGAAGACCATTTATGCCAGCGATTGCCAATCAACTGTTATTATTAATGTCTAACTCATCACATGCTTTTTAGTATCAATAATCTTGTTTTCAAAGGAAACCGTGGGGGAGATTTTAGATGACTGAGTTTCAATTGGTTAATTACATATGAACATGTGACACTTTTGTATCTTATCAATGTTTATTTCGTTTAAATAAGTCATAGTTTTTATATTTCTTTTTCTTGACCTCAAGAATATGGATATTCTTTCAAAAAACTTTTTAAGTGATAACGTGATTTCCTATAACTTTAATTGAACAGATTCTTCCCTTCATTCTAACCTGTTTTTGTGTTTTTACCGAACATTTTCTTGCTAGTGAGTTCGAAACCTATATCAAGCTTACATTAGGTTTGTTAGTGGGAAAAATCTAGCTAATTATGTACATATAATGACTGTTTGATGTTTTTTAATTTTTTATAGCAACACAAATATTCATTTAAACAATTATTGAGGCAACCCAAATAGTTGCTTAATAGACTTATCACTTGAGCTTTGTATATGGTAATACTACTATTTATTCTATATTGTCAAAAGCCTTAGTTTTTTAACCAGTTTTTTTCATGTAAATTTCACCTGTGATGTAAATTTTTATTTCTGTTATCATGTACTGATGCGATGTATTTGTTTCGTTTTTTTTGCAGCTGTGTACAGAATTATGGAGACAATACCGAAATACCGTAAGTTAATCCTTTTTTATGGATCTATTTTATTTAAAGCATTGTCATCATTGTATCTACGTGTGTACGCCGCAGAATTTTTCGCTCGCCGTTGGTCTTCTGTCAACGGCTGCCCAACAATTTAGAGTTCAAACCCTTTATCAACCAAGTTTTTATTTACGTCAACCAATAGCAAACCCATACATATATCGGATATCTAACATGTTTTAGAATAATTTAATACAAAATTTAGCAGTTGGTGACATGTTATAGATAGCTAAACGTTCACGAGTTTATCCAATCAATAGATATTTATTATGCTGAATAATAGAGCGTTAAATATGATTCAGATACTTACAGTTATTTATTCAAAACACTACATAATCTTACCTACGCCATACCTCATTAGCATAACAAGATGAACACCGGATTCATAATAGTGGTGGTAATATATAAAAGAAAGATTGGATAAGGATATAATACAGGAAGAAAGAGTTAGTTCGTAGAAAGAAAAATATGAAGCGATTTTAATCTCATAGTTCTAGGGAAGACAGAGTGTATACACCTACGCCACTGTGATCGATTCTCAGCCATGTCCTCCAGAGTCTCCAACCAATGGTTACGATAGTCACGCGGACCCCAACCAAGTAGTCTGCATCTACCAACATGGCTCAGACTAGAAGTTAGTGACTTCAAGCACTGATGCCACGTTTAGGTTTGGCCGCCCCTAACTTTCTTCCAACCATCCCCAACACCAGTTAGCATTGAGCGTCGTGATAATCGGTGTTCAGGCATACGCAACACATGGCCCAACCATCTCAGTAGATGAAGGATTGCTGACATTCAGTGGCAACACCATGTTAGTAATGCAGAGGTTCGGCATCGTATGTTCGGGCACAGAGACGATAATTCCATTGGTGTTACCATCTTGAAACACCGACTTCGGTGGCTTGGACATGTTCTACGAATGTCGTCCTAGAGAATTCCTCGTCGTTCATTATTTGCCGACTCTGGGACTGGTTGGAAAAAGCGGAGAGGTGGTCAGTATATGACATGGTGTTGTGGTACGAAAGAAAGCTGCAAAGGGCTGGCTTCTGTTGGTCCTTCACGACTCCCTGGTTGGGGTCCGAGAGATGGTGTAACACAATGGCTAGAGACGTTATCAGATATGGCGATCCTGCTGTAACCTTCTTTTACTTTCTTCATAAAAAAAGTGGTTGCCTCTTCCTTAACTGAAAGATTTCTTCTCATTGTACCTTTCCGTTTCCCCCATTATTGTTCTCTCTCTCTTTTTTTTTCTCCTTTCTCTTCAAATTATCATTGTTTTGTGTGGCGCATATATATTTGGTGCCCCCTTGTACCAATATTTATGTGTTCAAATAAATAAATAAAATCATCAACTGGTTTACCATAATCCCTAATACCCTACGTCCAATCTCATTATTACTTACCTGGTGATCTTAGCAGATGCAAGCAGTATTCCTAAGACTTCTGAAATCAAATATTATTAACCTACGAGTATCCTCTACCCTTAATGGCCAAGTTTCGCAGCCGTAAAGTAGAACAAAACGAACTGCTGTGCAGTATACTCGTCCCTTAATTGATAGACGGATATCTCGCCTTCGCCATAGGCGACGTAAGTTGGTAAAAACCAAACGACCTTTCCGAATCCTTGCTGAGATTTCGTCAGACACCAACCCACGAGGGCTGATCAGACTTCCAGGATAAGTGAAGTTGTCAACGCATTCGACCACTTTAATCCCTATCCTTAGTTCAGGTGTTGAGACAGGCCATTCCCGAGGCAACAATTTGCATTTAGAGGGAGAGAAGCGCATCCCAAACATCCTGGCATTGTTGCTCAGTGCTACCAAAACACTGCATTTTATCAGCGTCTTCACCAAACAGGACTATGTCATTTGCGTATTCCAAGTCGATAAGTAGACCTCCTGGAAGGAGCTCAATACCCAAGAATTCAGTCGATGAGAGCATTATTTCCATCAGTAGGTCTATGATGAAGTTAAATAAAAATGGAGAAAGTGGACAGCCTTGACGGACACCACTTGAGGTTGCGAGAACAGATGACAGTTCGCCATAAGCTCTGACTCGACTAGTAGTGTTCGAGTAAAGAGCCTTCACAAGGTTTATGTACTTCTGAGGTACGCCTTTCCATGACAGACACTGCCACAGAATCTCGTGGTCTACGTCGAGAAAGACCACCATTGTCGGACGCCGATAAGCATGTCTGTGTTCTAGAACTTGACGAATAGTGAATATGTGGTCGATGCAGCCCCGACCAGTTGTAAAGCCAGACTGATTTTCTCGTGTTTTTAGTTCACGAGTCTTAGTTAGACGCCCGGTAATTATTGACGCTAGTATTTTGGATGCTATGTTAGTCGAACTAATACCTCCATGGTTGTCACAGGATGATTTTGACCCTCTCTTATATATTGGGACAATCAGTGATTGTGGCTAGTTAGATGGGATTAGGTCCAACTCCCATATTTTAGCTAAAATATTAGTTAACCTAATAGCTGAAATTGGACCACCATCCTTAAAGACCTCTGGAGCCAGTCCATCTGGACCAGCTGCCCTATCTCGTCTCAGATTAACCATAGCCTTTTGAACTTTAGCTAGCTTCGGAGGACCTACTTCAATGTTTCAATCAGGCTGTATGGGAATGGTGGGTAGTTGAAGAGTAGCTGAAGGCCAGTTGAGCTGCTCTTTAAAATGTCCCGCCTATCGTTCTAAACGTCTGGACTGGGAGCAGATAACAGCGTCGTCTTTTTCCTAGATAGTCTCACTTACACTTGACTTCTTAATTCCAGTTTCTTTTATTAGTTTAAAGAGCTGTCCTGTGTTACCTATAGCCGCCGCCTTTTCCATCTCTTTTGCTTTCGTCCAACTAACTCTGTCCTGAGCAATTCTTTCCAGTTACTATTCATTCTTTTGATGTCTGCTTCCCATTCCAGACACAGTGTGTTCTTTGGCCCTCCTCTTTCCCGTTTCCCTTCAGGTTTCCAAGTTATCGCTTTCCCTGTGTTGCAGTTTGATTTCCGTAATATATATCCTATCCACTTTCAACATCTTTTCCAAATATCCTCTTCGGCTGGAAGCTGGTTTGTCCTCTCCTACAGTAGGCTCTTGCTGATGGTATTCGGGCAAGGGACATTGAGTAACTTACGCAGACGATTGTTCATGAATACTTGCACAATTTTAATGATGGTTGTATGAGTTCTCCAAGTTTTAGCTCCTTACATTAGGACTGTCTTGACGTTCATATTGAATATTCTGATTTAGTGATGTGTCTTTCTGAAGGGGACGTGGAGCATCTTTTCAGACACTTCAATGTCTGACGTTAGTGCTTCAACTGGTATGTTGTCCGGTCCTTCTGCCTTTCCACTATTGACATTTCTGATGACCATCCTTATTTCTTCGATCGTTGGTGGAATGACATCTATCGGAAGGTCTCTGTGTGCTGCTTAGCTGTCCGGTGGGTCCAGTGGAGCTGGTCTATTAAAGAGCTCTTCAAAATGCTCTACTCACCTGTACCGCTGTTCTTGAATCTCAGTGATTGGCTTGCCTTCCTTGTCTTTGACTGATCTCTCTGGTTTACTATATTTTCCTGTTAGTTTCTTCGTTATATCATATAGTTGTTTGATATTTCCTTCTCTTGCCGCTTTTTGCGCTGTCGCTGCCAGGTCTTCCACGTATTTCCGCCTGTCGGCTCTAATGCTCCTCTTCACTCTCTCGTTTGCCTCTGTGTATTCAATGTGTGCCTTGACTTTCACTGTTCTTGTTCGACTGTTTTTGATTATTGTTTTGTTCTTCCTTGCTTGAATCCTACCCAGCGTTTCAATGGAGATCTATTCCTCGAGATGTTGCTCCTTGCGTCCCAGACCTTCCTGACATGTTGGAGCTAGTGGCTCTTTGATCCCTTTCCATCTGTCCTTTATAGTAGTTTCTTCTTCATCGAGTAGATCTGTAGAATTATGGTCTAGTTCGGTAATAGTACATTTATCTTTGTGACTGTTATAGTGGACCTAATCCCGAAATCGTAGATTTGTCATGACGTGACCACGTGATCTATGAGATCTTGTGTGGAAGTCACATCATTGTATATTCTGACTCGTCGTATAGTGACAATCGGCAATACGATATTTAGCGCTTCTCAAGAACACAATTGGACTAGGGATAGGATAATATATTTTAACGTGACTAGGGATTTGTTACAAGGGTGACCACGCCTGTAAGACTGAGCGATTGCATACCGATCAAGTGTTCCCACGTTCCTCGTTGTTGACCTTCTCTTAGTGTTACATGTTGAATGTGAATATTTTCAGTAATTACATGCTTGGCTCCAAAGATCGTGCGGTTAGGAACCAATACCACTGCAAATCTTGTGAGAGGCTTGGGATCTGATGTTGAGAGTTATCCTGAACTCGTAGAGTTTGTCAGTATCTTAAAGAAAGGCTGCATTAAACCTTTGTAATGCTGTTTCTCCAATTGTCCAGTGCTTGTTTGGCATCAATTTCATCTTGGCAACCACTAGGTAGATGGTGATCTGAATCTATGTCAGTTCCTCTCCTGCTTCTTACGTCTTCCATTGGCCTTCTGAATATTTTAGTGATACAAATACGATCATTTTGGTTCTGTGTAGTGTGGTCCAGTGAAAGGCTGGTAGCTTTGTGTGTGTTTATGGGGAAGTATAGTGCCATCAATAATCATTTTGTTGAATGCGTATAAATTTGCGAATCCCTCACCATTCTCGTCCCTTCCTTTCAGTCAGTCCATGTTATCTTCATATCTGGTGTTTTTCATTCCGACTTGGGCGTTTAAGTCGCCCATTTGAATGGTCAGGTCCTTTCTTGGGCACTCCTTAACAATCGTTTTCAGCCTCGCACGAGACTTATCTTCACCGTCGTCGGTGCTATGATTGGTGGGTGCATAACATTGGATAACTTCATTGTGATTTCGTTCTTTGTTTTGAAGGATGCTTTGATCATTCTGGATCCATGAGATTC